AGAGGTAAAACCAGCCTAGGATGAGATAGTACGAGGCAGAGTGAGGTGATCAGATTCCAAATGACTTATTCTAGGAAGCATCAGGAAAGGAAAGTGATGAGCACAGTAGGTTTGTCCAGATCCCAGCAGAGATGCTCTGTCTAGAGGGAATGTGGACCTTCATGGTGGAGAGCCAACTGGAGATTCTGGGGCTGGGGGGAATGTCCTTACTAGTCAGGCCTACGTGACAGTTTGGTCTACCTGTAGCAGTCATCTGATAGTGAAGGAGCTCTGGTGGCATAGTGGCTAAGTGTTAGGCGGGGATCTGCAAGGTCTGCAGTTTGAAACCAGCCACTCGGGGAGAAAGATTGGAGGGGATGGTTCGGTGCAACTTGTTTCAACTGTCCCACACTAGCTACCCATGTTCAATCTCAAGAAATCAGTCAGAGGTGCTACATGTACCTGGCCCCCAAGATTGGCTCCCTGGGATTGTCTCCACAGTTTAGTGATGACCTTGTTAAGGCAACAGGTGATTGGAAGGGGTAAAGGATTACTGTGACACTGACCATTCAGAACAGACAAGACCAGGTTGAAGTGGTGCCTTCTGCCTCTGTTCTGATCCTCAAAGCCCCCAAGGAACCACCCAGGCACACAAAGAAGGCAGAACATTAAGCACAGTGAAACATCATTTTTGATGAGATTGTTGGCATTGCCCATCAGATTCGATACTGATCTTTGGCGAGAATTCTCCGGAACTATAATGAATGTCCTAGAATTGCCCAGTCTGTGGGCTGCAATGTTGACGGCCACCACCCTCATGACATCATAGATGACATCAGCAATGGAATGCCCAGCAAGAAGTACAAAAGAACATACAATTTAATCATTGAAAAAGAGGTTGGCTTTCTATTCTTATAATGGCCTTGGAAGCTCAGTGGGGATAGTTCTATCCTATAAGGTCACTACAAATCGGTATTGACTTGGCAGTGAGAGTGTCCTCTGAACTTTCAGATTGTGTCATCTACAAATCCTAAGGCTTCACACTCCTATCTAAGGGTCTTAGAGTCTTGGTCATGTATAGACCCACCAGGTACAAATTAAGTGCTAGGACTGTTACCTGTATCTCTGTTACTCAGCCTGAAAGAGTAAAGCTTTGCTTCCTGTGACCTGGCCCGATAGCTGCTCAGCTTCATCGTGCCACTGTATAGAGAACTAAACTGTTCGCTTCCATTTTGGTGTAAATATGAAGGGGCTTCACAAGTTTGTGAAAAATGGAATTAAAAGACTGGAA